TCCGAGCCCAAAAAAAAAAAAAAAAAAAAAAAAAAATCATTAGAAAAATCTGAAAAAAAATTATGCTATACAGAAACATAAACTGAACAATTTTTGCCTTGGAATCATACCAAAATTCGCTGCCAATTAAAAAAAAAAAAAAAAAAAAAACCTTTATTTTTTTACTTTTTTCGTGCTTTTAATTGCTAAAAATGGAGTTCTCCGGACCCGGATGTCCGGGACCCACCTGACTGTCCACCCATAACGTCCGGCCGGGACGTCCTGCCATCGGACAACTGGTAGCCTAGTACATATATATATATATGTACTCATTAGTGCCGCTCCTAGAAGACCGAATCTGTTCATAATTTTGTTCATCCATCCCAACGAGGTCGTAACTGATCTTGAACTGCGAGTCAGTTCACAGTTTGCGACCAACACTACAGGAGGAGTCACAATTGCGAGTTAATTCGCAGTTTCCCCAAGATTAGACGCATTTTTCTTTAAAGTCAGTTCTTTATTTCCACAACTGCGAGTCAGTTCGCACTTTATGACCAACATTGCTGGAGCTGTGAAACCGCGCGTTCATTGAACGCGGGTTTTGCGCGCGCGTTCTATTCTGCGCGGGGAAAAAAAAACAAAAAACAAAACAACCTCAAAAAATTCCGAAAACAAAATATGTTATGAAGAAAAATAAAATAAACAATATTTTCCTGAGCATTACATCTAAATTCGTTACCGAATTGAAAAAAAAAACATAAAACAGATAATAGAAAAAAGTAAAAAAAGAATTGAAATTAGTGAGCGAACACGATTTGACATCGCCATCTTTGGGGATTGTTCATGTTTTTATGCCTTAGCAAAACGACTCCAAAATTTTGGAGGCATGTACCTCACATCATACTGAACTCATAAAAAAAATCAGAAAAAAAAAGTTTTTTTTAGGCATCGAAATGATTTTTGTTTTAAAAAAAAAAAAGTAAATAAATAATTGAACGTCGTTCAATTTTGAATGCGAWTTTAAATCCGCATTCAAACGCACATTTGAACGAGAACGCGCGTTCACGGCGTTCAAACGGTTACACAGTGCTGGAGGAGTTGTTGCCCTCCGTAT